TTTGGGAATATAATTACTCCATTTGTGAATATATTTACTCAGGTTGGGAACATAATTACTCGGTTTGGGAATTTAATTACTCATATTGGGAATATAATTACTCATTTTGGGAATATAATTACTCATTTTCAGTGTAATTACTCTGTTTGGGAGTATAATTACTCAGTTCGGGAATATAATTACTCAGTTTGGGATATAATTGCTCAGTTCGGGAATATAATTACTCAGTTTGGGATATAATTACTCAGTTTGGGAATATACTTACTCAGTTCCGAAATATAATTACTCAGTTCAGGAATATAATTGCTCAGGTTGGGAATATAATTACTCAGTTTGGAAGTATAATTACTCAGTTAGGGAATATAATTGCTCAGTTTGAGTACAATTACTGAGTTTGGGAATATAATTACTCAGTTTGAGAGTATAATTACTCCATTTGGGAGTATAATTACTCAGTTCAGGAATATAATTACTCAGTTTGGGAATATAATAACTTGATAAAATGCCTCATCCTGTGGTTTATGACAGCCCTCATCCACCTTCCTGTACATGTAGAAAAACAGTGTGTATAAAAGCGTCTTTAGTCCAGAAATAGATGCTTTTATCACTGTCTAAACTAACTGTTGTGAAGACATGAAACCTCACTATCATGGTAGGCCTCGGGGTTAATGAAGCTGTTTAATTAGTTTCTGTGTAGTGCTGGAATTAAAGAACTGCTTGTCATCTCTGAGAGATGGATAATAAAGTCACAGGTATCAAATGTGAAGTCTCATATCCGACATGAGCAGAATGCAGCATAAATGCGCTCTCTCTTCCCATTGGTCAGCGCCGAGCTCCGCCCCTAAGGACCTGACTGTGATTGGCCGAGAGGGACGTCCACGAGCCATTCTGATTAGCTGGCAGCCGCCGCTGGAGGCCAACGGACGAATCACAGGTGACGCTCAAACACACATGGCACGACAGAATCATAATTCAGCTTGAGACGGTTTTGTTTGTCCATCCAAATAATAATAATAAATGAAACCATGATCAAGACACAAATTATCCCATGCGGCAAAAATATAGATTTTTTTTTCTGTCCAAATTATTTAGCTAAATATGTGTTGTAAACAGTGAAGCTCTATGAAATATATTTTAAAAATGAAAAATATATTTAGTTTTAACCTTCATATACCAAAATATATTTCTAAATGTATTTCATGGGCAAGAAAATACATTTACAATCATTTGTTTTATAATGAATTATACTTTCTAAAGGTGCAACAATGTGTTATAATGTACTGTAACTGTGTTTACAATTATTCATGAGATCATTATAAGTAAAATATATACTTTAATAATGCATTATATATAAAGGCTCCAAGGAAAGTGTTTCCCAGTGTTGTTATTCTTAACTAAAATGACAACTATATTAAAAAATAGAAAATATTGTTTGTTAATTGAAGCAAAGCTGAAATAAAAAATAAATATTAAATGAAAAACTTAAACATAATTACATATAAAATAATTAAGTTATAGGTTGTTGTAAAAATTTATGTGAAGTATTATAATGATGGATATTCATAAGATCATGATAAGGTGCATTACACACATAATCAATGCATTAAAAATACTTTTATAATGCATTATGTATAAAGGCTTCAAGTAAAGTGTTACCTAAGGTTTTTCTTCAAATGTGACATAGGGGAATGTATTTTCTTGGATTAAAATATATGGACGGCAACATATACTTTTACATGCTTTTAATATATTTTAAAATATTAATATATAATAATAATATTTATTTAAATAAATATATATATG